TTCAACACGAACGAGAAGACATTCCTATTTTTCGAGGAAACACGAGGCGAGAGCATTCATTGGCGTCAAGAAAATTATCCACCGTCACAGTATCATCGTCCCTTAACTCATGGACAAAGAACAGACGCTTCCAATTCATCCTCAGCTGTAACACCGGAACCATCACAGCAGCCATCGTCTATACCGACTTACATTCCCAGCCCATCACTATACATGGGTACACCGATGATTTTGATGGCACCTCAACCATTTTAGATTGAACCGCAGTCATTTTAGACGCCACAGCTGCATATTCAAATGCCACCACTGCAGGGTTTTATGATACATCTTGGTGGTTATTATACTGTCATGCTTATAGATCCAGCGTGGGCTTTATATGTTGCTTATTTGGAGGGTGGTGATTTACCACAGACATAGACACCTCCGGTTCAGTATGGATCGCAATTATCGATGTCGATTTTTTTGCAGCTTTCACAGTTTTCTAAGAGCGATTGGATGGTTAGTCATACACCTCCATGGTCCTTATTTTATGGAGGTGTTGCATCATCATTCGTCCTTCATCAAAAAAATATAGATGCTACTGCTGCTGCTGATGATGATAAAAGTGAGGAGGAAAAGCAAGTTATATGAAGAAACCCTCATCGAAATAGACACATGTCGCCCTGTGAAACACATTCAAAATGCAGACATCGATAGACTTGTTTAGTTTGTAATTTTTTTATCTAATTTTCTTTGTTTATCAGCAAATGTATTGTATTATTAACTTCTTATTTATTTTGTTTCTTAATGTTTTTATTATTTAATTATTTGAATTATAACGTTTGTATTTAATGTTTCTTTTTAATTAATTTAATTATTTTTACTATTTAGTTTGTAATGTTTTTATTTAATTTTAACTTAATTATCTCATTATTTGTTGATGCTCAAATGACATTAATTGAAAATAAACGAAAATAAAATAACACAAACTGAGATTTCAGAAACTACAATTACATTTTGATGCTCAACGGTTACGTGATGATAAAAGAGATGAACATTTTTTCCTATTGTGGCCTAGGTTTCTACAATGCCCACATATTTTGTTTTCTTTGGTCGTATCTTGAATATCCATATCACAATGAATTTGAGTGGATTTTGGAAGACCTCTCTCCCTCAATAAAGACGATCCAGTATAATTAAAAGTCAATTCTGAACCTCATATGGGTCTTTTTCATTACCTATAAGGGGAACTCAAATTCATATACCTTAAATACAGTTGTAAGTCTGTATACTGGATCAACAAAATGGTTATAGTCTTGACAGGTATAAGAGCAAGCTGCTATGACATGGGAGCATGGATACTTCAGAGGTTGAAAAAACCCACAGTCACACCACCTGTCTTGTAGATTAACTCTGAACGAGTTAGCTTCAATCCCTTGAAGAGGTTGTGGCATTTTTGTGACAAGAAATAATTCATGGGTTTGAGAGAAGCTTGTTACATACATTTCATTTGATGCAATAATCCTTTTCTGTAGATTTACAACTAAACTTGGGTGATAAACATGATCATTTTGCATCCAAGTTTAAGCTTGTCCCCCGAGCTTGGAAAAAACGCTCCCAAATGAAAATATATAATTTTAACCAAAGTTGTTACTAGTAAATTGCATGCCCCCTTTAAGGACAAATTGATATCCTCAGCCAAGTTGGTCATTAAATGTCCATATAGATATCTATCATTGTATACATTTATCTACATTTATTTGTTAATGAGGCTGATGTAATTGTATCCTTGCTCTTTTTTTCCTTAAAATCTTAAAGCATAGACTCAAACATTTGAGGTAATAGTTCGTATCCTGCGCGTCAAATGTAGTACTTACTGTTAAGTTCCCATAAAAATGAAAATGATTGAGAAATGAAATTAGGCATTTTGATATACACATGCGCACAAGTAATTGGCGTTCATCATTGTTCTTAAATTTTCCATGATAGTTTGCGGCAATATCAGATACAATACCGATGTTGGACATTGGGAGGTTGTCATATTGGACCCAAAGAGTCCATTGTTGTTTTGATCCCAGCTTTGCGGTCTGAAATGATGTAGATTGTTTCCCTCGTGACAACATGTAAACGAACGTTTCTGAGGGGAAAAACCCAAGAATCTGTATCTTCACCTTCAACAAGGGCAAAAATAACTGGAAGAATGTTGTGATTACCATCTTGGATAACTGCTAATAGTAAAACTTTCTTGTATTTTCCATACAAAATGTCCCATCAATTTGGACCACGGGCTTGCAGTATTTCACAACATTAATGCATTGTGGGTAAGTCCAAAAAAGCCGGTAGAATTGGCATCGATTGTGAAGCACACGATCATTGTGGTATGCATGACAAGTTTCGAAGTCGACTATTGTCTTAGGATTCAGTCTGCGCATTACCCTAAACCAACTTGGTAGTTCATTGTAAGATGAATCTCACTCGTCGTGAAGTTTTTTAATGGCATTCTGCTTTTCCTTCCATTCTTTTTTGTAGGAGACGGTGTACCTATATTGAGATTATATAGCTTAAATCAGCACCGTAATAGCTATATGAGAGCTTGCTTTGACCATGGGCATGATGGTTTCGCAGATAATGTCGAAGTCCAAGTTGGGATGATCCTGGTTGATCCCTCTAGCATAGTATGTATGAGGATCGTTATATATTATTAGTTATCATATGTTGTTTTTCATCTTCCTCTTCGATAGACTAACCATCCAGTTGCATCCGTTATCACGTTGAACATAGTGGTAGACTTACTTTTCGGTGATGAATCGATTGACTTTGGAGTGAACAGAATTACAAATGTTGTAATTCTTAATTTCTATCATCGCTTCTTCTTTAGATGAAAACTTTATTCCTCTATATAACTCACCGTCATTGACTGATGAGTTAAATTCGTAGTCACCAACATTAGGCATATCCATAAATTCTAGTACGCACATTGCATAATAGTCAGCTTCATACATGTGTGTTAGAGGTTTGATGTGTACCATATTCATGGGAACTTCATCTACATATCATCATCGGAGTCTATGTTGAACTGCGCTGATTATGGTTCAACGAATAATACAATCTCAGCATCATTCGCACCTGGCTCACAAAAAGGTTCTTCTGGTGGAGTTGAGGTTCCTCTGTGATACTGATATTTAGGTCGAACAAGCTAGTAGTCGAATGCCTTCCCCTTGAACTTGAAGGCATCGTGTCATACGGGTTTTGAACTAAGAGTTGTGTCATAAGCATCTCCATATTGAGGTCAAAACAGCTCGCATTTGAATGCCTCCCCTTAAAACTTGAAGGCATTATGTCAAATAGATACTAAACAGATTGTTGTGTTGAGGGCATCTCCATATTAAGGTCAAAGAAATTGGTAGATGAATGCCTTCCCCTTGAACTGTAAATGATGTTGCCATACAGATTGTTTGTGGAGCCACCTCGGTAAAGATCGTAACAAATTACTTATAAATGTCTTTTCATTAAACTTGATAGGATGATACCAGGATGTGGATTTCCCATTAACGAGTTAAAATCATTACACATTACTTGAGTTGGGCTGTCAGCTTGATCAGCTTGCTGAGCCAGCCCATAATGGGAGCATAATGACATACCATGAACCGCAAACGCTTCAACAAATGTGGCATACATTTTTGTAATAGCGTCTGAATTTTGATTCTAAGCATCAACCATCATAGCAACGTCATCATCATTGGAGAGTTAGAACGCTGCATAAGTTAACAAAAATAATGCAGTTGGAAATCTGTACTGAAGTGAGGACAATCTTCTAATACTTCAAACATGAACCTTCTTTGAAATTTTAGTTATCAACTCCTCACAAGTAATGTTTCTCTTAAAGGATAAGCTGACAAAATAATTTCATGCGAAGATAACACTAGTTTCATCTTCATGAATTTCTCTATTATAGTAAACAATAGCTAAAATACGCCTCATTTTGAGAGTTTCAAAGATTGAAAATCTTATATCTACAAAAACGAATAATTATGTCTAATATACGATCATTCTCCTAATTAAATAAATAGTATAAGAATTAAAATGTAAAGTAATACTAAAAAATTAAAAATATTCACAATAATTTAAAGAACCCAATTTAATATTGTTACCGTATAGGCAAAATGTCTCGAGATATGATAAAAAATATCTCGAGATATGATCATATCTTCCATTTTATAACCGCAAAAAGTAATAAAAATAATTAGTAAAATAAAAATTTCCAAATAAATTAAATATAAAATAAATATATTATAATAAAAAATAATTTAACATTCTAAAAATTGTAACAAAATCTATTTGATAGAAGGAATTTATAGAAAGAAGAATGTGACTGTAATCGGGAGTATTTATAAAGGAAGGAATGTGTCGTTCAAGATTTAAGGTAGATGCGGTAATAATAAAAGGGGGCAATAATTGAGGAGAAATAATCGAAGGCGTGCTTCATGATTCGTGCCTCTCTGACGTGTTAGAAAACCCTGTAAAAGTACGAATTACAATTCACGTTTTTTCATCGTGATTCTAGTTCAAACAGAATTTTAGGAAAGCACGCTTCATGATCTACGCTTTCCATTCATGTCTGTAAGGCGCATATCTTGAAACGTACTTTATTATCACTATGTCAAAATAAATATTAGATCGATAATATTTGAAGAAAGAATATATAATAAGAAATTATCAATTGTTTGGGTTAAAACTCCGGTTTACCATAACTGCTCTTCCTTCTTCCTTCTTCCTTCTTCCTCAGCATAAAAACCTCAAAAAACTCACTTTTTTCCCACCAATTCTATCTTTGTTTTTGTCTTTGCCTTCATAAAACCAGATTCCTTCTCTTCTTTTTAAACTCAAAATTTTCGTCATTGTTTTTCATTTGAAGCCTTTTGATTTCAATCTCAACAGGTCGAGAAGGAACGGAGGAGAATTATCTACGTTTTGATTGATCAATGGTCTTTCGTTAGCTCTCGGAAAAGAAGAATCTGAAGCGAAACTGAAAATCAAACTGTGCTGATGGCTTCTTCCTCTGCTTTGAAATCTCAACCTCTCCATAACTTTCAATTACATGGACCCAAATGGGCCATGAACCACACCAACAATCAACGCATCCGGAAACTCACCGATTCCGCTCAGAGATCTCCTCATTGCTGCGAAACCGATTCCGATGTTATTTGGAAGAAGAACACAGTGCGGGAAGCTCCTCCGTGTAACGGAGCTTCTTCCGGCTCCTCTCGAGATCTTAGGATTGGAAAATCGGGGAAGAAAGTCATCAACGGGTCTGGTGTTTCGGTTGCTTCAGAGAAGGAAATAATCCACGATTCTGGTGTTTCGGTTATTCCGATAGAGGGTAGATCGAAGATCTATATACGCCTGCGAGCGAAGACTCAGAAATCTGTTGTTGAGGTTCAGGAAACTGGAAATCAGAGCTTGAGTGTGGAAGACGTTGAGGAATTTGTTCCTAAGACTTGGAATCTGAGGCCTAGGAAGGCGATTACTAACCCGCAGAATCAAAATGGAGGCGGGCCTAAGATCGTAGCTTCGGCTCTCGAGAACAAAGCTCAGAGGCCGGATTCGAGCCGGGCTAGAAATGCAACTGAACCGAAGGCGGCTGAGAAGAAGGCGAAGAAACAGAAGTTCTCGATTTCGCTAACTAGAGAAGAGATTGATGACGATATCTTCGCTATGACCGGTTCGAAGGCCTCTAGAAAGCCAAAAAAGCGACCCAAGAATGTTCAGAAACAACTCGATGTAAGCTTTTTGATTTGCTTCATTATATATCTTCTGAAATTTGGATTTTTTTTTAAATTCTTTTTTGAATCTTTTGCAGTAAACAATTTTTCTTCATCATCTTTCTTCTGAAATTTTGATTTTTTTCTTCTAATTATATTTTGAATCTTTTGCAGTGCTTGTTTCCTGGTATGTGGTTAGATTTGGTAAGGCCTGATTGCTACAAAGTCCCTGATCCTCCTTTGAAGGTCTGATTTTGCATATTCAAAAAGTTTAATCTTTTCAGTTACGTGCACAAGTTATTCCGAGCAAAGGTTTGATTTATTTGTGATTGCAGGGTTAGATGGGGGTGCTGCTAAAACTGTGATTTTGGAGGGTGGGAATAAGGATGACTGCTAAACACCTTTTTTGCAGTTGTAGAATGAGCTTGTAGAGATGAAAGGGTAACGAATGAGTCTTGTTCTTGTGCCTTTTTGTCTAATTTGCGATGAGGTTAGAGGGATGGTGGGGGACGGTATATTATGAAACTTGTTATGAATAGCTACAGCCTACAGATTGTAAATATGACTTGTCAAACTCATAAATAGGGTTTTAACCTTTCAGTTTATGTAAAAGGAAATCTTTTCTAAGGTAGATCTTTTAGATCAAGTAGACTTTCATTACTTGTTAGTTATGGAACTGGTTAAATTTTAGAACATAATGACAGTTTATGGATCCAGAAAGTTTGAGACGCATGCTTGTTTTTGATGTGCACGGGTTTCTTTCTCATTTTGTTCTTTCCAATATGCACCTGTTGTTTTGTTCTTTCTCATTTTGTTCTTTTTAACATGCTTCAGTCGGATAAAATGTTCTCGGTTTGCCGACAGTTGATTGATTGGTGAAACACATTACAAATTATTGGATAGTACTTATGAGCTTTTTTTTGTTATTGATGGATAAAGTAGCTAGGGCTACATGATAGTAGTCAAACGATTAGGTAGATATGAACATGTTTAAGATCATAATAACTGTTTATCAATCAAGAAAGTCTGGGATGCAGACTTGTTTTGATGTGCATATGTTTCTTTCTTATTTTGTTTGGATAGTACTTATGAGCTTTGTTAGTTATTGACGGATTAAGTAGACAAGATCACGTGCTATTAATAAGCCAATTCAGTGACCGAGTGCACGCTACAATAAACGGTTTGAGTGGTTCTGAGCATGTGTTAGCAATCAACAGTTTGGACAATTTTGAGCATATGGTTACGAGATTTGTTAGTTATTGACGGATTAAGTAGATATGACCACGTGTTAGTAATTAAACAATTAAGTAGATATGAACACGTGATAGTAATCAACCCATCTAGTAGCTCTGACCACATGATATAATTAATGATTGAGTGGTTCTGCACGCGTTTTAGAAATTAACAGTCTTGTGCTGAACACATGTTAGCCATCAACAGTTTGAGTAGCTCTGAGCATGTGGTATTAAGTGACGGATTAAGTAGTTATGAGCACATGAGCATGCTTGAGCTACTGTCTTATGTTAAGAATACAAAATTCTTAAGGAGAATATAATGGAAACATATATGGTAGGAATGCATCTTTATGATCCATTTGCAACATTGGATCTATATTTCATTCGTGCTTCTTAAATGCACATTTGTTGAAGGAAAAACAGCTAGTTTACGGGCTTCAATTTATTTAGGGAACTGTCATTATTTAGTAAAAGTAATTAGTTCTGTTTATCCTTTCTGTTTTATCTCTAGATAGCACAAGTGATAAACATGCATTGGTTTCCATTCAAGGCAATATGCGTGCTTGTTCATGGTAAAAGTAGTTTTTTTTTTCATTCTTTCTGTTTGTCTCTTCATAGCATGAGTGACAATTACGCTCCAGTGGCCATTCAAGGCATGATGTGTGCCTGTGAATAGGTCAAGATATTTGAGTGTAATGCCCTTCTAACTGGCTTGCAGGCATTGTATCTTTATATAGGGCCGTGGCTGGGGCGGCGCGAACTGCGCGACCGCGCAGGGCCCCCAAAAAATGGCCCCAAAAAAGTTTATATATAGTGACGTTTTTTCAATAAACGCCACTATTATTACGGTTTATTGATAAAACGCCATTATAGATAGATCCATCGCGGCGTTTGTCAAGAAAACGCCACTATTGTTTCCCCGAAATCGAATATATCTAGAAAATAGGGGCCCCTTTATAAGAATTTGTACAAGGCCCCCGAAAACTCTATCACGGCCCTGTCTTTATATTCTTACATGCTATCGGAAAGAAAAATTATGAAAAAAAAGGTTAATTCAACGGCTCTTGATTGGTTTGACATGAAGTTCAATTGTTAATGAATTATAAAGTTTGTCTTGTGTGCCTTTCTTCCTTGAAGAGATTGTGAGGTAGATGCCTCACCATTATTTCTAAGATACGTTTAATCAGAAAGAATTACATGTCATAAAAGCCATGCATTGTGTTACTTAAATCTTTTATAACTGAGTTCAACGCTTGCTTTGAAACTGCATTCGTGAAAAGTAAAAGTGGTCGGTTTATCTCTATTTACCAGATCTAAGAAAAACGCCCTTTTTTTTATCTTCTTCATGCCCTTGATGTCATTCTCTAACTGCCTATTTGAAATGTGTGGAAAATTTGTTTGCGTGTAATGGCTAGATGTAAATGACTGATTGGGTTGGAATTTCATGAAAAATATCAGTATTGGAAACTAAAGAGTTTGGTTAGACTATTATGAATGACCTCCATTCTTTTTTTTTTTTTTTTTGATAATTAATGACCTCCATTCTTATGTGTATCTGAGTATATTTTCCCTCTAAAGAAAAAAAAGGTGCTTTTTTGTAACCCCTTGACAAGCTTCATATGGAAACTCTATAAATGCCAAATCCTACTATAGCAGCAGCATATTAATAGGAAATATCATGAGGTTTGCTGTTTTGTCAGATTTGCAGTGTGATTGCTAGCTGTATCAGCTATTGGTTCCTTCATAATCCACGCGCTCACACTCACATGCGCATGCTAGAGAAGAGCACGGGCCTTAAATTTGTTAGGATGTCTTTTCTGAGATAAATGATGATTCCATCAGTTATTTTGATATTTTTACTGGAAGTCTCTGGTGGGCAATGACTCATACGCATCTGGTTGGAAACATTGAATACAAAGGTGTTTATGGTTAGATGCTCAGCTCATATGAGAGGAAGTTCATTAACTTCCATAACATTCATGTGTTTTTTACTTTGATTTCTAGTTCAGTGTTCCATCTAAAATGATGGGTTACTGTTTAAAACTTCAGCCTAACTGAAAGGCCATGTCATCCCCCCCCCCAAAAAAAAAATTGTTGTGGTCATCTTGGAAATGTTCCACGAACACGCACGCTTTGACGACATGCAAGGTATTATGCTTCGTTCTGTTTCCTTTATTTTTTTTTGGAAGGTAACCTTTATTGACTGTGTCAAGTTTGCAGTTTCCTGCAGATTATAATGTGCCATCAGAACAATAAAGATTCTGAAATGGATATTGATTTTCCCTTGGGATGTGATTCAAACTCGAAACTTCTCGATGCTGCTCAGTAGCTTCCTGGTTGGTCCTAGCTGGATTCTGGTATAAGATCGCATGCCCCATAGTACTGTCCATTACAGAAAACGCCAAAACATAGAACCAGATGAAAATGGCACTCAGCAGCAGCCTCGAATGTTTTTTGCTACCAACATGTATGTTATTGGGGAGCTTTAAAACTATATCGTTGTGGTCGGCAATGGGATTTTATTTTTGAACTATCATCCTGAAATTAGGAGTATTTAGATGATGATGCATTTTCTTTTTGACAAATGATGTGGAGAAGAGTGGCTAGTAATGTATGAAGTTTAGGTCATGTGGTTTCCGCTTAAAAAGTGGTCCAGCTTTCAACTTTTTACTGTTGTGTTTTCCTTTGTAGATCAAAGGATTTTGCGGTGGGAAAGTACCCATGCCAAACTATCTTACATAGTTAATGGTAGTCGGCACCGCCAGTATAATAGTTTATGATATCCAAGCTTTGTTTCAAAGCTTTGTTTGCTTTTATCATGTGCTAGTTATCAAACATCACCAAAAACTATGATTTAGTTTCATTTGATTACTTTTAAAAATCATGTCAAACATTTATGGTTGTACCTTGTGCTTCCTTGTATGAACCATCTCTTCCAACTTATGGGAGTGACAGATTCATGCCGACAATCATTGTTTGATTTCCTCCGGCGAACTCGGCCTCGACACTTCTACTTCGGCATTTGTCACTTTGTGGCATTAACAAGGTTGCTGGACAAAATCACGTTTCAGAGTAGAATATGGCAAAAATAAGAGCCCAAGAGTACGGCAAATCGGTCTGATAACATTCAAAGCATACTGAACATAGGGAGGGGGTGGGGGAAAACAACTGCAATGCTGGAATATTATTGACTGTAACTTGTGTAATCTTGCCCAGCATAGGATTAAGATTTCAATCCATGCAACCACCAGTACTAAGGGATAAAGTTAATGAATAGAACCCATTCACAACTTTAAGGAGAATGGACAAACAATTCTCGATCAAATCTATAAAAGATACCAGAAACAAAGCTCATCATCCAGAAACATTTTAATTCTCTGCCAAAAATAAGTTTACCCTGATGTTAGTTTGATGTAGAGGCTCTTATCTCCGCTGCCGGAAGATACGACTCCAGCATTAGTTCTGCTCGGGAAGGTGAATTGATCTGAACAATCAAGTAGGTATACTTCCATTTGTTGTCGGTTTTGTCCTTGAACATTTCCGCAAAAACTTTCCCAGCTCCATGAGGCCCACGGATATAGAAATTAACCTGTTTGAAATGGTTAAGAAGCAATCACCAAATCAAAATTTGCATGAGGCCTAGGACAACAATCTTGTAAAGATTAGAGGGTCACCTCCACATGTTCTATGCCATTTTCGTCCGTATAAATCCTGTTTGGAATACGTTGGCGAGCAGCACGATTTCTAGTTTCTTGACCATAGCCGGTAATAGGATGTCCAATCCTCACCCTAACCTGACACAAACAAATGTAATACCATGTGGCATAGAATTAGGATCACATATACTTTGGTTGTCTGTCGAATATATATGCTTAGAGTAGTATAAATATGCAAGAAAAACAGAAACATACTTATAATTTATCAAGCTAGTATATGCTAGATTCATCCAAAATCTGGCCTGATAACCGCTCAATGTTTTTTGTTCTCCGTTTTATTTTAATCTCCTTAGCATACTCCATTCTTATTTATGGCTTCTAAGATATTGTTTTGATGTTCATGCTGGCTGCAGATGTATATTGACAGGCTTCTGCCTAAAGACCCGCAGTTATAACTAGTAATACATGTTGTACTGTTAACATTTCTAGTTTCGACTGAGAACTGATTAACTGAGATAAACTCCAATGCCCCGTTTCAGTGTTGGGTTCAAAGACAAGAAAGCTGTTTTTTACAAACCTGGCTTTCGTTCTGAATCCTTTCCAGAGCTTGGTTGAATATCTTATACCTACAAAACCATGGTTGAATTAGGGTGCAACTTGCAAGTAAAGGGATAAGCTTAGCAACCCTAATCGCCAACTAGGCATTTGAAGCTTACTCTCTTGGTTGAAATATCAACTCCTTGAATACAGCATATCCTGCAGCTGCTGCAATCCCGAGCCCAACAAGGATTATGAGACTGTAGCTAGCGCCCTCCGTAAATGTCACAGGCTTTTCTGGGATATTATATGTAGGAGCATCAAATGGATCCTCAACATTGGATAATTCTTTTCTGGTCTGCCAAAGGGATAAAGACAACAACTCAGTGCGACTGATGTGAAGCTTCAAGTAATCATAAAGCCCACAGAACTAAGAAATGCAACAATTATATGTTGACCAGTGTAGCATTTGATGAGTACATCTCAGAGAAATCTCAATTTAATCGTTCTTTCCTTTGTTGTACACAATTGCCTTTGGAGTCCTACGAGGACAGATGGTATTTACTTGGTATGGAATAAACTTCAGTAGTGATTATGGTTTCTTTAATATTTACTGCAATGCAAGAGTATGATGAAATAATTTAAGTCATTTCATGCACAATTAGGAAAGAAAGGTGATGATAAATTCCGCAAACTTTCTGAAATATTCCTCTTTAGCATCCGGGCATAGATTGCCTCACCACAGAAGTGGATAAAACACGAATTCACTTGCACATTATAATTAGTTAATTACAAGCAAGCATCATGAAAAGTGATTTTGTCAATTAAAACCAACAGATATAAGAACACAAAAAGGCCAAAAATTTAAGCTAAGATCCGAACCTCATATGCTTCTTTCGATTGCTTTGAAGTTCTTGATGCAAAGGATCTAGCAAAGTAAGGAGACATGAGCTTCAATCCACAATTTTCTACATGATGGACCGAAGCTTGAAACCTAACTATACAATCTCCACCACACTGTCCTCTATAAAGAAGAGAACTGCCTGTTGGACATAATTGTCAGATAAAGTAGGTAAACCATTATCGGAGAAAAGAAGATAATGATTATCCTTATGCTAATCCAACTTGGAATTAACTTTTATGCACTTCAAAAAGTAGGCCACTTATGCATGAATCAATATTCTACGCAACAAAGTAACAGAAAGACAGGTGAACATGGAACTTCTCCATAATAGATATCCAATGATAATAACTGTAAAGTTAAATTTCAGTAACAACATGAATACAAGAATCCCATCGACCATAAGCTTCAGGCATTTGAATGAAACTTAGCAAGAAAAATATTCTCTAATAAATTTAACATAAATGTTTCAGATAAACATAGATGAGAAATAACTAACCATTAGCTCCAAGTACACCCTGCAGAACGAAAGAAGAAAGCATTCAGTTTGCACTTTGCAGCTAGAGAGAGAGAGAGAGAGAGAGAGAGAGAGAGTACAAATAGAAACACTTAGTCTGCACACTTCAGCCATTTAGAACAAAAAAAAATGTTAATAGAATGATAAATACTGCCTCACCTTCGATATAATATTTGCACCTGTCACATACTGTCTTGCAAAAGTAGAATTCAGATACACCGGAGACTGCAGTAATCAGTATGTCATCAGAAAATGGTTCAACAACCGATACAGATTGAATATATCTAAGAAACACTCTTAGAAGAATGTCAAAACTATAATCAATCATATTTATCAAATCAAAACAAGGTTTAGGCTCAACTCATAAAAGCAGAGGAAGCTCCAATATATTTGATTCGCTCATAGGCTTTTTGCTATACTAACAAGTACTACTTTTTTTTTTATTAATTAGGACAGAAGTAGTATCTGTTTGAAAGACTCTTAAACTGCAGACGTCGTGCTTGGACCAGAGACCTCTGGGATAACAACAATTTCTTAACGACTTAGCTCGAGCATTCATGAAAATAATTACTAACTTGTATATAACTTATGCTACTAAATTCTATATCCCTCCATCACACTTAACAGCTTCCAATCACCATTGCTACTACTTTGAAAGCTAATAACACAATTAAACAGAATAACATATCAAACAAAGCATTTGAAAGAACAGTAATGTCAAAAATAGAAAACTACCCATAGAAAGCAAGGAATTGAGGAATACATCAACATACCCTTTTAGAAGCTGGCGCAAAATCATTCAGAAAAGGCTTAGATTCCACAAATGATCTGAAGGGACCACGCCATATGCTCTTACTAGATATTACAGACCTCCTAATGTTCTGCATCTTCAAATTACACAAAGCTTAAACCTTTTTTCTTCTACAACTCTATGAAAAATACTATATTTCTTCCTGGATTACCAACAAAACAACAAATAAGAACACGAAAAAGAAACTCAACTAATTCAATTCAAAACGCATCAACCAGTTAAGAAAGACGGGATGCAATTGGGGAAACGAGAAACCCCAGCGGTAGTGGTTTTATTGAAGGAAAATAGCATCAAAGGCCCGTAATTGGGTCTTACGGCAGCCCAATAGTACCCTACAAAAACATGAAACACACCTTAAAGGCCCAGTATCCTGAAGGATATAATGCCAAACGTTTGCAAGTGTAATTATGAGAGATAAAAAGGTAGTTATGTTGTACGACAGTATAATATAAAGCTAAAAAAAGGTGCTAACAGAAATATTAATATTTTGTTACCCCCTTAGACTGATGCGGGTAACCTGATCTGATCTGGAGTGTCATATTAGGGCCACCGGAGCGACCCACTGTAAAAATCTCAGAAAATTTGAAACTTTTATTAAAATATGTAACTCATAAAATGATTTATCAGTATGCAGAAATAAAATAGATTTTCAGACTCGTATATAAAACAAAATACAATTACATGCCCCTAATCACATGTACCATACTCTGCAAGCAACGCTAGACGAACTCCATTACTGCACATGTTCAACCCTTTTAACCTGAAAAGGTGAGTAACAGAGTGAGCTTTGGAAAACTCAGTAATACATAACTACCAGATGATGCTGAAGAACGTGCAGATACAGATAAACATATATTTGTTTATCGGTTGAGACATCTACAGATCTTTATGTTGAGCGGAGATCCTACTGATATTTCAGGTAGTATCAGAAAATGAGTGTTTAGTTTAGGGAAATATTCGAATGACTGAGTTCAGTAGATCAAAATAGGTTATCTAGTGTATCCCTACAAAACCAGCGAAAAGATACATATCTTTTTAAAACAAATTATTAAAAGTTCAAAAATCATAGTAATCCTTCCAACCGCACAGCCAATAATATGTAGGTTCCCCAGAACCATACACCCAACCGCACAGCCAGTAAGGCCCTGAGCACAAAGCCGAGGAACCTGCAGATATACTTCCTCCAACTTTACCCCCCCAAATAAAATATTTTCCGTTAGTAAACGGAGATATCATAAATCAGAACAGAATGCAGGTAAGAAATCAGAACAAATTTCAGATCAGATGTCAGAACATAATTCAAATTGGAAATCATATAAAATATTCATGTGAGTAAGGAACACACTAGAGTTTCCATATATTATTCAGAGATATTGGATAATCTTATCTGGACATGGATCTTCAGTTTACCGATATAATGTAGGAAGTTAGAATCACTATTGGAAGAGTTCATTAACTGACAGATTCATCAGTTCTTCAGAATATGATTTATCAGGATCATATGTTATTTGAACATTTTTCTGAAGCTCTACGAAATCATAAAAGTATTTTGAATCCTTTACATCTAAGTTATTTGTGTTTTCAGATATGACCAGAGTGATTTGAGCTGATAAGGGAGAACTAAGATTAAGGACCTTTACAATCTATGTCGATTGATCGGATTATCGAACAACTCAAGATGAATAGTTCCCATAACTAATGCTAGTTGACTGGTCATTTCATTGCCCTTTCAATGTATTTACTTTTTAATACCAAAATTATTATCCTTAGATCATCTTCGGAATCATCGTTGAATAAATCTTCCAATGGTTTTTATTTTATTTCCATGCTTCCACAATATTATGAAATTCTAACGTGCTTGATTTGTACTTCATGACCCATAAGAACAGTACATCATGTAAGTTCATTAGTATTCCCAAACTTATCCAATTCACTTATTTAATCCTCAATCATTGATCTTACTCAGTAGTCAAGTCTATCCCGGTTACTTCAAAGTTTTCCAGAGTAATTCAGACGTTTCTAAATTTCGATACATATTGTACTTTTGTTCTGTTCAATTTGGTATTTGTGGTTGATTTGTCTAATAAAATATCCACTTCTTAGTACCAAATGCGCTCTAAAGTTTAGCTGAGCTGAGTACTTCCAGAATTATCATCGATCCAAACTTGAGGAGACGAACAAGCATTCAACTGGTACCTATGCCATTCAGGTACTGATATAGCACTAGCGTTGGTTGATCGACTTAATCTGTGTTCCATAACTTTCAAGTGTAGTACAACACCTATGCTTATTTGGATTCCTTAATTAATCCAAGACATTTACTTAGTCTAGGCCATAAGGGTATTTTCATCATTTTCGTCTTTACAAACTTCTTATCCAACTTCCAGGGTCAATTTTTTTCTTTTTACAACATAAGAGTATTCTCGTAATTTACCTTCGTAATTTACCTAATCGAAGTATTCTCATAATTTATCATTCAAGTACCTTTAATGAGATAAATTATAATTTACATATTAAGGATTGATTCCTTTATCACTCAATCACAGAACTTGTAATTCAATAGAGTCTTAACTAATATATCACTTAGACCATATTCGGTTCGAATTCATCCATAATCAAACATGCATAATAGACCAATCATATACATCCATGCATTTATCCATTATCAACATGTTCCATAAACCATAAAGAGGTAGTAATGTATTACCTCAATTTTTGTATCATACTGATCGATAATTTAAACTCCATTAGAATGCCCTCGATCTTGAAATCAATGTCCAAAAATTTTTCAGATAAATAACAACAGAAATTTCATCAGAAACGAAGCTTAATTATGAAAAACAGATCGAATCGAGTGATAAATCAGTGAAAAATAGCTTACCATGTTCGAATTTTGCGAAACAGACTTCGGAATCGGACTCAGGACGTCGAAAAAACATAAAATATGACTTTTCAAAAATTTTGACTTTTTGGTCAAAGTCAACTATCAAAGTAAACAATCAAAGTCAACGATCAACGGGTTGACCCAGTGAGTTGAATAAGCCGAGTTAACTCAGTCGGGAATGCGGGTTGGGTAGGCGGGTCGACCCATTTCAAGCTGTCCAGACATTCCTCACTCTCAAGGGTGGCGCGTGGGGGCGCGTGCGGCCTCGTACGGTACCTAAAAAATTCCACAAAAATTTCTAAAATTATTTTAAGGGATTTTGAGACACTTATCAAGCTTGGTTCATAATTTTGAACGGCAGAGAGCTCGATTTTAAAATGACGGAAACTTTAACTTCCTCACCTCCTCATGCGCCAGCGACGACGGAGACAAAAAGGATATCGGTGGACTCGAAACGATGCAAGGAACACGATTGTGCGGGAGGTGTCGAGTTAAAACCAGTGATACTTCTGGTTAAGATTTACGGAAAACGACGCTGATTCACAACGAGAGGTTTGAGGGGTTTTGTTCATCGATTGACAATGAACACGATGGTGGTTTCGGATTGACGAACGGTAACCAGACGGTGGAGAAATCGGAGCTCAAAGGAAGGTCAACGGGGGAGGGAAATGGGAAAATCATTTTGCAGAAAATATACGGGGGAGAGAGTTTATAATTCAACACATAAGAAAAATGGGTAAATTCAAGATTGAGTCCCTGAATTTCCTAAACTTCTTAAAATAGTCTTCCAACTTTGTGATTTTACACTTTAATCCTCAATTTCTTCCAAAATATCACTTAAATTCAATACTTTATAATTTCTAAAATTTAGCCCCTAAATTAGGTTGTGACAATTCTCCTATCCTTAAAAGAATTTCATCCTCGAAATTCATTCATGTCACATAATTGCATAAATGAACTTCCATAAGTTCTTTCATATCTTCAAGTAGCTTTTACAAAAGTATTGTTCCTCTATAAATCTTTAACTAGTTGAGTATACATTTTCTTCAGAACTCTCCCTCATTTCAATAAAATAATCAGAGCAGATTTATCATTATGGAATCAATTCAACCTTAGTTACGAGAATAGGCCCATAGAACAATAACATATCTCAATTTTATTTCTGGAGTCGGGTCAGAATTTCTCGGATAAGTAACTCTCACATGGCTCGTGAGGTACTTTACATAATTTAGATAGATGTTACTGGTATTCCTTTATGCAAAGGTAGAGCTTGAACAGATAGAAAACTTAGATTTGCTCGTTACAGAGAGGGACTCAACCGTGGAGTTTCGACTCAGAGAAATACGACTGTAGTCTAGGGGCATGTACTGATCAGACATTTTTTGACATTCGACCGGTCGGTCTATTCAGAAAACTGACTTAACCTAAACTCTGATACCACTAAATGTTACCCTCTTAGACCGATGTGGGTAACCCAATCCGATCTGGAGTGTCACATTAGAGCCACCGGAGTGACCCACTGTAAAAATCTCAAAAAATTTGAAACTTTTATTAAAACATGTAACTCATAAAATGATTTATCAGTATGCAAAAATAAAATAGATTTTCAGACTCGTATATAAAACAAAATACAATTACATGCCCCTAATCACATGTACCATACTCTGCAAGCAACGCTAGACGAACTCCTTTATTGATGTTGATAGTTGTATTGGTTCAATCCTTTTAACCTGAAAATGTGAGTAACAGAATGAACTTTGGAAAACTCAGTAATAAAAAACTACCATATGATGCTGAAGAACGTGCAGATACAGATAAACATATATTTCCTTATTATTTCAGACATCTACAGATCTTTATGTTGAACGGAGATCCTACTGATATTTTAGGTAGTAACAGACAATGAGCGTTCAGTTCAGGAAAATATTTCGGATGACTGAGTTCAAGAGATCAGAATAGGTTATATAGTGTATCCCCACAAAACCAGCGAAAAGATACATATCTTTTTTAAAAAAATTATTAAAAATTCAAAATCATAGTATTCCCTCCAAATGCACAACAAATAATGTGTAGGTTCCCCAGAACCAACACCCAACCGCACAGCCAGTAAGGCCCTGAGCATAAAGCCGAGAAACCTGCAGATATACTTCCTCCAACATTACCCCCAAATAAAATATTTTCCATCAGTAAACGGAGATATCAGAAAACAAAACATAATTCAGATCAGATATCAGAACAGAATCCATGTCAAGAATCAGAACACATTTCAGATCAGATATCATAACAGAATTCAAATTGAAAATCAAATAAAATATTCATGTGAGTAGGGAACACACTGGAGTTTCTATACATTATTCAGAGATATTGGATAATCTTATCGGGTGAAGAAACACGGATCTTCAGTTTATCGATATAATGTCGGAAGTTATAATCACTATTAGAAGAGTTCATTAACTGACAGAATCATCAGTTCTTCATAATATGGTTTATAAGGATCATATCTTATTCGGACATTTTTCGAAAGCTCTACGAAATCATAAAAGTATTCAGAATCCTTTACATATGAGTTATTTGTGTTTTCAGGTATGACCAGAGTGATTTAAGCTGATAAGGGAGAACGAATATTAAGGACCTTTACAATTTATATGGATTGATCGGATTATCGAACAACTCAAGATGAACAATTCCTAGAACTAATGTTTGTCGACTGATCAATTCATTATCCTTTCAGGGTATTTACTTTTTAATACAAAAAATTCTTATCCATAGATCATGGTCGGAATCATCGTTGAATAAATCTTCCAATGGTTTTTATTTCACTTCCACGCTTCCACAATATTATGAAATACTGACGTGCTTTATTTGTAGTTCATGACCCATAAGGACAGTACATCATGTAAGTTCATTAGCATTCCCAAGCTCATCCAATTAACTTATTTAATCCTCAGTCATTGACCTTACTCAGTAGTCAAGTCTATCCCAGTTACTTTAGAGTTTTCCAGAGTAATTTAGAAGTTTCTGAATTTCGATACAAATTGTACTTTCGTTCTATTCAATTTGGTATTCGTGGTTAATTTGTCTAACAAAATATCCACTTCTTAGTACCAAATGCGCTCTAGAGTTTAACTGAGCTGAGTACTTTCAGAATTATCATCGATCCAAACTTGAGGAGACGAATAATCATTCAAGTGGTACATATGCCATTCATGTACTGATATAGCACTAGCGTTGGTTGACCGGCTTAATCTGCGTTCCATAACTTTTAAGGGTAGTACAACACCTATGTTTATTTGGATTCCATAACTTAGTCTAGACCATAAGGGTATTTTGATCATTTTGATGCTAAATGTTAATTCAGTCATTTCCGAACTTGTGGATATCCAATCATTCCTGGGCTTGGTGACATTCTTGGGTCATTTCCATTCCAGGGGTATTATGGTCATTTTACAGATATAGGGTATTTCAATTTTTTTCTTCCATATGATCTTATTATTTAATTCAAACTTATCATCTATTCGAGTCATTTCGAACAATTTTGACAAAAAAGTACCCTCGATAAATTATTCTTCAGGTATTTATTTTTAACTCGGAGATTTTCAAGTCAAGTGCATTCTCAGATGTTACAAACAGATCAGGAATTTTCTATACAAAGTCAGAATCTTAATAATTAAATCTATAATTTATCGAGCTAAGTACAAATCCTCAAAGTACTTTCTCATTCAGGGTCAACTCGGATTATTTTTACCTCTCAAGGGTATTTTCGTAATTTTTTAACCAAATAATTTCGGTATTAAAACTTTTAACAAGGATAATTATAATTTAGAGATTCTAGGATTAATCGCTTTCCTGGATAATCTCTAAACTTTAAATTATTCCTTATCAAACTTCTAGTATATTGTACAAGCCATCTTGGTTTTAGAATTTGGTTATCCAGATTTTCTAAGCAAAACTAGTATTTTCTAAACACATCAGTAGTTTCATCAGATCAATATGTCTTTATAAACTTCTTATCCAACTTTCAGGGTCAATTCTTGTCTTTTTACAATATAAGGGTATTCTCGTAATTTTACCTAATCAAAGTATTCTCATAATTTATCATCTAAGTACCTTTAATGAGATAAATTATAATTTATATATTCAGGACTGATTCCTTTATCACTCAATCACATAACTTGTAATTCAATAGAGTATTAACTAATTTATCACTTAGACCGTATTCGGTTCGAATCCATCCATAATCAAACAAGCATGCTAGACCAATCATATACATCCATGCATTTATTCATTATCAACATGTTCCATAAAGCATAAAGAGATAGCAATATATTACCTCGATTTTCGTACAATATGATCGACCATTTAAACTCCATTTAAACGCCCTCGATCTTGAAATCAATGTCCAATAATTTTTCAGATACACAACAAGAGAAATTTCATCAGAAACAGAGCTTAATTGTGAAAAACGGATTGAATCAGGTGATAAATCAGTGAAAAATAGCTTACCGGGTTCGAATTTGGCGAAACGGACTTCGGAATTAGACTCAGGACGTCCAAAAAACATAAAATATGACTTTTCAAAAATTTTGACTTTTTGGTCAAAGTCAACGGGTTGACCCAGTGAGTTGACTCAGCCGAGTTAACTAAGCGCGAGTTGACTCAGTTGGCCATGTTATTCGGGTCAACGGGTTAGCCCATTTCAAGCTGTCCAGATTTTCCCCACTCTCAGGGGTGGCGCGTAGAGGCACGTGCAGCCTCGTACGGTGTCCGAAAATTCCACAAAAAAATCTAAAATTATTTTAAGGGATTTTGAGACATATACTAAGGTCGGTTCACAATTTTGAATAGTAGAGCTCAATTTTAAAACGTTGGAAACTTTAACTTTCTCACCCCCTCACGAGCCGACGACGACGGAGACAAGAAGGACACCGGTGGACTCGGAACGATGCAAGGAACACAATGGTGCGGGAGGTGTCGAAAACGGGTGGTTGGATGGACGTGAATCGACGGAAAACTAATAGCAATCAAGTTAAAACCGACGATACTTCCGTTTAAGATTCACGGCGAACGACGCCGATTCACGATGAGAGGTTTGAGGGGTTTTGTTCATTGGTCGACAATGAACACGATGGTGGTTTCAGATCGACGAATGTGGAGAAATCGGAGCTCAAAGAAGGGTCAACGGGGGAGGGAAATGGGAAAAGCATTATGCAGAAAACATACGGGGAGAGTTTATAATTCAACACATAAGAAAAATAGGTAAATTCAAGATTGGATCCTTGAATTTCCTACACTTCCTAAAATGATCTTCCAACTTTGCGATTTTACATTTTAATCCTCAATTTCTTCCAGAATACCACTTAAATTCAAATACTTTATAGTTTCTAAAATTTAGCCCCGAAATTGGGGTGTGACATTTTTTTAACATTTTTATAGAACGCTACCTAAAATATTATTTTTTACCGAAAATATTAATTTTGCTACCTAAAATGAATATTTCCAATATTAACATTTCCGGTAGAAAAATAACATTTTAGGTAGCGCCCAATATTAATATTTCCAATAGAAAAAATAACATTTTAGGTAACGTTCTACCGGAAATACTAAAAAAAAACATTTTCGATTACATTTTTTCTCTTAACCTTGTATTATGCTACCTTTCTTTAGACATCCCTAGATAAAAGGGATTTTCTCTAGCAAAATATGAAATATATATCTACCATATTTTATATAAAGCATGATGAATGTTATTCGGATCCTCCGAATAGAGGCTTGCCTTGACTTCCATCAGCATCTCGAAGAATTCCGCCACAACTTTCATTGTGTCATTCGATAGTTTCTCGGAAACTCCATGGCTAACAGCCTGTTTGAAAAGACAAAACTAAGTAAAACTTGAGAATATTCCAAAAAAAGAAAAAAGAAAAAAAAGATCTGTTTTAAGGTTGTAGCATGAACCTGAAAAAATCCGAACTTTTGGGTGGCTTTGAGAACATTTATGATCGTATCGTTTCGATTAATCAAAGCTTCCCCGAGGTTGATAATAGGAATGGCAACCTTGCCACTGCTAGGAATGGCAACCTTGCCGGGTCTGGTTTCTGGTGGGCAAATATAAGACTGGGGCGAAGCACCATAATTGCACCAGCTTGTAACAAGCCGCTCCATTATTTAGTCTTATCTGAAGTGAAGACTCAAACAAAAGTGATATATATATATATATATATATCACAATCAAGAGAATTGGATTAGTGAACCATCATAGTCAGATAAACATTTCTGGTAATTTTGAGAACATTATTCTATAGGAAGGTGGAATCTGATTCTTCCATAAGTGCCTGAAATATATGAATATTCCATTATTATGACCGACACTTGATAGTTGAGCACATCTATCAGCCGAATGATTATCCGGAATTGAGTTGGATTGAACCCTAAGAGGAAGATTAAAACTTAAAGACAGATATTGAACTACAAATCGTTCAACCCAACGGATATCGGTTACATGATAAAGACTTGAAGGTAAATGCCATACTAAACAAGTTGGCCAATACTGTTTAATGATGCTTGATAATGAAACAATTGCAGAAAGAGGTATATGGAATTGAATGAAATTTTAGAATGATCATCAATATGCTTGTAATTGTTTGTTTATACACTGTCACAATGCTAACAATGGCTCATTGAAGTATGTTAACCTCATGATGAATCTATATACAGCAAAAGAATAGAGAGTTTCCTTCATAAAACTAAACCCTAGTCCAACAATGGAAACCCATTGGCATTCCCATTCATTTCGATAAATCCGAGCTCGGGGCCCTCGAATTTACGGTGGGAGTTTCAGGAGGTCTGCTATATATATCATCAAAATGAAGACTTATATCCCCTCCTCCGGCTTCAAGATCATCCATGTACGTTGACCGAGATAACCTCCGAGAAGGCCTCAAATCAAGGAATTGATCTTCCTCTTCCACACTTCTCTCAGATAAGTTATCAAACTGACGGTCTGAAGAAAAGCGGTTGAAATCAGGAGGCTCGAGAAAGCTTGTTTCGGGCTGTATACTATGTGAATTGCTTCTAGCCCACCAGTGGCTCCTTGCATGGTGAGGTAGTTCGTTTGTATCGTGATGCTGGAGAACACTCTCATGGAAGAAAGAAGCCGATGATGAAGCTTCAAGATGTGCGTGCAACCGTGACCGACCATCGTAACGGTGTGACCAGCAGTCTTCATCTCTTGCTTCATCATGTGTCATGTTGGTTGGCACCCAATAATCTCCATACCGTTGGTCACCTGGTTCAGATGGCCTCATTGGAGCAGTCTCCCCCCTATAACCAGTTGCACGGCGAGCTCGAGAGGTGGTATAATACCAATCAAGAAGATATGCCTGATTCTTTTGTTCAGCATCAACTACCCATAAAGAACCAAAATTGCGGCCAGCGCCTGGAATATCATGTTGCATATCCCTTGATGAAAGACCATTTCTATCTCTGTATGCTCTCGGAGGGCTTGCTTGCCACAATCTACCGGGAGAAGATGCATGTCTAGTTCCCTGAGTTTGAAACTTTTGGTCCCTGGAAGTTCTAATATTCGACAGGAACTGCTTACCCCGAGCATCCGGTTCCCACGAAGGATAGCTACTTTGGAAACTGCAATCGGAACAAGATTATTCATGACAGAACTATGCTTAAAGGAAAAAATGCAGAAAAGGATATTCTGCACAAATAAAGGGTAGATCATCATAACCAAGATTCACAAACATAAACTTTAGAAAGGGAAACTGAAGTATCATGTTTCGCCAGACACATTTATAAATGAATCTCGAAACTTATCAGCTTAACACAACAATAAGAGTTATCGGAGATTTCGGATATCCCAAACTACTTTCACCAGGCAAATAGCAAAGATGATATGTGCATATCTAGGAAAGAGGATGTATATATGAGTCGAATTAACCATTGCAATGATCATACCTCAAGAATGATTTCTCCATTTTCCCTTGGGAACTCCTCTGAGCGCGAGGTGCATTGTGCGGAGAGCCGTAATTTTCATTGCCATGGTTTGAGAAATCAAAGGCACTAAAACTGCAAAATGGAAAGGGACAATCGGACTTAGTTTCATTTAACGGGACATGATACAGTTAGTAATAAACCAGTCCAACAGAAATCAAAAGAAAAAGAACGCTCTTACCTGCAAGCATGTCCGACACCTTCAATATCCACTGTAAAATCTGCAACAAACTGTAAAATGTCATCCACCCGCTGCAAAATGAACATTAAAAACTTTAGTTCAAAAACTAAGATCTATGGCTAAAGCAAGTGAAAAACTGACAACAGAAAATTTTCCCAAAAAGGAGATGGAAAAGGGAAAACCTTTGGAACAACAAATATAAGCAAGAATGGAGTGAGGAATATCGAGGTCATTTCTTCTAGCAACATCATTCCAGTGTACTGCATCAGAAAATTTTAAAATGAAAAATTTTAAAGAGAAAAGAATAAAAAAAACATTTCTCAAACAATATTTTGTTACTTCGAAATCTATATACCTCTGCCAGTAGTATAACTAAATACTTCGAACATCTAGGATTACAGGTAAAACAAAAAATAGGTAACTAAAATTAGGGGTTACCTGAAATAGAGTTTCGAACTCTATACGGACGGTTTCAGTGTTTTCTCTACCACCCCATCTCTTTGGCATGTAATGTGTATGTTGGACTACCATAGACATTGCTCCTTCATGATCAAGGACCAAAATTTCATCAGTAACGGCAGCCCGGCTAATAGCTGTTATGGTTCCAAAAACAGCTGCGTACCAAAACAAATTCCGACCGAATATCTACAAGTTTGGAACAAGGAAATGTAATTAATAAAACTGATGTAGAAGAGTTCAAAAGAAAATAAGAGAAACTGAAATGGTGGAAGCTCAAAAATATTACATGACCCTCTAGCAAAGATTCCTCTAAAAAGGCAATGATGATCAAGATAGCAGCAAAGCCACCAGATACAAATGAGATAAACTTCGCTATGATAGAAATAATTGGTGAGGGGAACCGGTTTAAATACTCAGAAGCATGCATTACACTGCTATTAATCCGATGCTTGAATAAATGGTCAACCTGTAAGACAAAGATAATTGTGTCATTTCATTTTCACAGTAGGTTCTGAAGAACATTTTTTTATCATGATAAATTTAATTTTTCGCAGAAAAAATATGTAACTTCAAAGAATTGTCTACGCTTACGATTGCTACATAAAAGTAATAACAGAAGCTTGTGAGGATAGACGGTGGATTAATCATTCTTGACTTGGCAGCACCCAAAACAAAGAAAAAAATATATATTTAGCTTTCAAACGAAACGTAGAGAAGGGGGAATGAATGTACCTCATTGAATTCCCTAAACATCCACTTCGACAAATTTGACCATCTGCGGGATGAAGCCGTGCTTGGATGATTATAGAATTGTTCAGCATGCCTTAAGAAGAGATAAACCAGCATGAATATAACAAGGAATGGAGAAAGAATAAGCATCACAAGCCCGACAACCATGAGTCTCTTCTTCAATGTTCTAGGATTATAAATGAAGTCCCTTCTAACACAGAAGTTTCTGCATCCGAAAACAAAGATGAAAATAAACCCCTAGAATTTAGCTTTTTTTTTTCTTTTCCTTTTTTGCAAAATATAATAGTACCTAGTAACATTTGAAGCTTGAAATTCTTCATATTTATATTGTTCTCCTTAAACATAAAACGAGCAATGGACAGTAAAACATTTTAAGAATTTTAATATAGTTCAAATAGTTGTCAAGTCCTCCCCCAAGTTTGTAATGATAAAAAAATGAAGAAATAAATAATTTTTCATTAATCATAAAGTAGAAAGTCATGAAACTTGCCTCTGTTGATGGTAAATCTAAAAGTTGGAAACATATCCATCGATGACAGTGATTATCTAAGTACTGTACATACATAACTGAAAGTCTAAAATTTAATCGTTAAACATACCGATCAAACATGCTCTGCAGCATACACCAATTTAAGGTCCATTCAAGCATCTTTGTTAGCATTAGGCGATGTTGCGTTCCATAAGGGCCAAATTTGACAGTTGGACCGACACCTGGGACCCAGGCTGGTAAAGGAAAAGCAAACACTCCTTTGTTAAGCATTCCAATCAAGTAGTTCTCTTTCCGCATCAATCGCATAACTACGTCATGCGCAGAAAGATCCTTAACCACACAGAGTTGTTGTGAACTTTGTAACCAGACAACCTTTTCAAGGATTGTTGCCCACGGCATGGTCTGAATCTCATTATCAGTAACATGGAGACTGCAAAATAAAATACAATAATAATAGCAAAACCATCAAACATTTTTAAGATGCTAATACCGTAAATGCTCTATCCCAATGAAAAGTTAAAGCTTCTGGTGCATCTTGTAACTTATGGATGCTTACCTGTTATAATAGAAGTGTCGTATTCCAAGGGTATCCTTTAGTTGTGCAAAATATCTCAAAAAACAGAATATCCAGTAGATGGAAAAGAGCCCCAAGTATCCAACAATAATAGCCTTTGAAAGTGTTAAAGGGGTTAATGGGTGTTGGTGAAGAGCTTCCTTAGCAAGATCACACGGCTTAGTTCCAGACTCGACTGCATCCATCCCGCACTTGGCATTGCAGAGACCATTCCAATCAACAAATAATAGGAAGAACCCTGAGAAAGATATAGTAAAGCCCAGGCTCAAAAGTTCGACAATCCATTTAATAATCATGCACCAAAGCCCTTTCTCGCAGTAGTAGCTATAGAGCCGTTCGAAGAACAAGTCCAAGTCAGCAATTAGTTCTACATTCTGAGTCTCACCATTCAGAAGCCCCGAAGGACTATCACTACTTGGACTTGGCGGAACTCTTCCATAGTCAGACAACTCAATCTCAGAAGATACATCACCTAGTAAGCCTGTCGTCAAAGAGGATTCACGACCCCATCTCCACTTCAATATGCCAAGAGAATTTCCAGGCTTTAGTCCCCTGAACATCATTTGTAAATCTTGATGGCAGGGAAAAGATGCCAGTCCATTCCCCAAAATAGGTAAATGTTTAGGCAAGGTTCTGCAGATAAGAAGAAAAGTAGGCAAATTCCCTTTATATGATGAATGTATGCACGCACTCACAGGAACATAAATATGCAAACATAAAAGCAAAACAGAAACCAAGCAACGTTATGGACTGCACAAAACATGACATTGATATCGTTCCGAAACAACGAATAAACAAGACCTGAAACAGACAAAACATCATAAAATAAATACCTGCAAACCATAACTCGAGACAAAACCACAAAACTTTTCTCCAATGAACCAGCACAGGCAACAAGCTACAACAATTTGATCCTAGAAACTTAAATTGCAGGTTCTTTCAACAGAAATAGCAGCAACCATTTGCAAAACCATAAATTATAAAACATGAAACATTAATAAAAATAATAACATATAGGGCAGAAAAACATCAAACGAGATTAAACTGGAGCGTATAAGTAGGTGCCCATTCATAGTTCAACTAAAAGCACTCTTGAACAAAAGGACTTGCCCAAATAATATCCTCAAAACACACCAAAAAAGGAAAGAAAAATAAAAGAAGTATCTGAAACAAATAACATGTCAAGATTACCCATTTAATACAATAAACAAGAAAAAGAAGAAAGTTTTAGAATTTACCTCCTACCCACCAACGAGCAGCTCCCAATAACACCGATAAGAATGAACAAATAGTCAAAAACGGCGAAATTAGCCGATGCCCACTATGAATAATAGCGCAAAAACCAACAAGTAGATGAAGAGCCCAAAGCCATGGTTGTGTAGAACAAAAAAGGAAGGGCTTTTGATATTATTTTGGTAATGGCAGAACTTTTATTCCAATGAAAAAACTTCGCTTTTAACAATAATAAAATCCTATTCTTAAATGTAATTGGGGTAGGTGGAAGACCTCCGACAGTTATAAAATTTAAAAATAAAGATAAAATGTAGTGCATGTATAAATAAATATATAAATACATAGATTAACAGTCTTCATATGCAGTCTTCATATGCGCGTCTGTAATGGGAAGTAATCCCTGCAAATGAATCCCTGCATAAAAATCTCTGTATATAGACAGAAACGTTAGACCCGACAAAATTTAAAAAGATGAAACCATGACGAGAATGATACACAATAGTCAACGATAACAAGCAACGAGAAATAATAAAGTCAAAATGAGTTAAAACCTAAACTAAGGCAACACTACTCCGCTACACTAGTTCTAAGCCTTCATAAATTCCAATGACAGAGACGATAAAAAAAATAGAAGTCATGGAAATTACTACAAAGTCATTAAAAGAAAACGGAGATGATACACCCTATGGATGTGACATGCACTACTCGACTACCTTGATCTTAAGTCTCCATACTTTCCTATCAGAGGTCATGTATTCGGTAAGGGCTAAATCCTTCAAATAAGATCTCAAGCAGTCTTTCCACTTCCGCCTTGGTCGTCCTCTCCTTCTGGTACCGTCGACTGTAATCGACTCTGCTCTTCTAACTGTATCCGACGGTTGTCGCCTAAGGACATGCCCAAACCATCGTAGTCTTCCCTCCCTCAATTTTTCGGATACAGGCGCCACCCCCAAGGACATCCTAATAGCAGAGTTTGGTGTCATGTCCCACAGAGTCCTACCACATGTCCATCGAAGCATTCTCATTTCTGCGGCCTCCATCCTCCTTACGTGATCTTTCTTGATTGCCCAACATTCTGATACATACAACAGCGCTGGTTTTATTGCCATTCTATAAAATTTTCCCTTAAGTTTTAGAGGCACCTTTTTGTCACACAAAACTCCAGTAGCAGCCCTCCACTTTAGCCATCCCGTCTTTATACGGTGTGTAACGTCATCATCCACATCCCCATCTTTATGTATCATAGACCCTAGGTACTTGAAACAATCCTTTGAGGGGAGATCGTGTCCTTCAATGCATACTTCTACATCTTCATCGTTTTGGTTCCCACTGAAGTTTGAACATAAATACTATGTCTTTTCAATATTGATCCTTAGACCTTTTTCTTCCAAAGCAGTCTTCTAGGTAGCCAGTCTACTATTCAGCTCATTTTTTGTTTCAACAACTAGGACAATGTCGTCAGCGAAAAGCATACACCATGGAACACCGTCTGGTGTCGCACAATAGATGTCATCCATAATCAAGGCGAAGATGTAAGGGCTAAGAGCCGACCCCTGGTGGAGTCCGATGTCCACCGGGAAAGCCTCGGTGTCGCCAACTGTAGTCCTGACGTATGTAGTAGATCTACAGTACATATCACGAATCGCTCGGATATAAACAGTTGGGATCCATCTCGTTTCCAAAGTATTCCAGATCGTATCGCGGGGAACGCTATCATACGCCTTCTCAAGGTCAATGAATGCCATGTGAATATCTCTATTTTTTTCCTTGTATTTCTCCATAAGCCGTCGAAGTAGATGAATCGCCTCCGTAGTAGACCTGCCTGGCATAAAGCCAAATTGGTTTTCCGAAACCCTAGTAACTTGTCTCAACCTAGCCTCTATCACCCTTTCCCATAGCTTCATGGTATGGCTGAGTAGTTTAATACCTCTGTAGTTGCCACAACGTTGGGGATCTCCTTTATTCTTACAGATTGGTATCACCGTAGACTCTCTCCACTCCTCTGGCATCTTGGCAGTCGCTAAAATAATGTTAAAGATATTGGTCAACCACTTTACTCCCTCTTCTCCTAGGGCCAACCACACAGTGATAGGAATTTGATCTGGACCGACAGCTTTATCCCTCCCCATCTTTCTAAGAGCCATTTTGACTTCCTCAAACCCAATCCTACTTGTAGGGCAGTCATTGACCATATTTTGATGGTCGACATACCCATCAACGGTACTATCTCTACAGGGAGAGGCTCCGTCATTAAATAAGGCAAAGAAGTAACTACCCCAAACCCTCTTAATATCATGATCTTTCACTAAAAGGACACCATTGTTGTCCTTAATAAACCTAATGCTACCTAGATCCTTCTTCCTATTCTCCCTGGATTTTGCTAGCCTGAAGATGTCGTTTTGTCTTTCCTTGGTGTCTAATCTCTTGTACATTTCCTCGTATGCCTTATCCTTTGCTTTAGCCACCGTTTTTTTTGCTTTCCTCTTTGCCTCCTTGTATCGTTGTTTAGCTCTCGATCTTTCTTCGTCGTCATTGCAGTGTAGATACTCCTTGAAGCAAGTTTGCTTTGTCTTCACCTTAGTTTGGACTTCGTCGTTCCACCACCACGATTCTTTATGCTCCTTGACCTTCCCTGTCGACAACCCAAGGGTGTTTTTACCCACCTTTCTGATAGAATTTGCCATATTTTTCCATAACAAATCTGCATTATTTGAGTTTGTAGTTCCAAAACTTGTATTAGACAAAACCTTACTCCTAAAGTCATCAGCTTTCGCTCCATGTAAGTTCTTCCAAAGGATCCTAGGTTTACCAAGTTTAGCCCTCGTATGAGTTCTCCGCTCGTGTCGTACGCGGAACACCAAAACCAACAATTTGTGTTGTGAAGAACATGCCTCTTCAGGAAACACCTTACAGTCAATACAAGCCCATCGATCCCGATTTCGAACCAGGATATAGTCGATTTGTGTATAATGTGCCCCGCTATGGAACGTAATCAGGTTTACATCTCTCTTGTTAAAGAAGGAGTTAGTGACCACCAAATCGTGTGCAGTAGCAAATTCAAGCAACGTACGCCCCTCCTTGTTCCTACTACCAAAACCGAAACCCCCATGAACACTGTCATACCCGTCGATAGCGCTACCTATATGGCCATTAAAGTCCCCCCCTATGAAAACTCTTTGGTCCTCCGGAATGCTCTTAAGTACTTCATCTAACTGATCCCAGAAGCAACGTTTCTCCTCCTCCCATAGGCCAACGTGTGGGGCGTACACTGAAAGGACATTCACCACTTCCGCTTCTATAATAACCTTACTCATCATGATCCTATCCCGGAATCTACAAAATTCAACTACATTTTCCTTTAACTTAGATGATACCAAGATACCCACTCCATTTCTAGTGTTATCTACGCCTGAATACCATAACTTGTACCCATTACACTCTCTGGCGCGAGCCCCTTTCCACCTAGTCTCTTGAATACATGCAAAATCTATTTTCCTATTACTAAGTATGTCGGTCAGCTCCAGCAACCTAGCATTTAATGTGTCTACATTCAACGAACAGACTCTAAGTCTAGTCTCCTTGACACCACTCTGTCGAGCCCTCCCCCTATCCGTCCTATGGGATCTAAAAGAAGGACATGACCTCAAGTAATCATCTATAGCCGAAGCTATGGGGAACTATGAAAAAGGAATCCAAAGAAGACAAAAGATGCACCAATAAAACACTAGAGAATTGAGGGAACTAAGAAGCCTAGTTGGTCAATTAATTTAATTTTATTGTTATTTTTATTGCTAAAAGCCTAGTGTTAAAAGGGAAGAAAATAGGTCTTGATGTATGAATGGATAAACCCTAGACAACCATTACATATTTCAAATCCACAATACAACAGTAAATTTAAGACACTGAAAATCACTACCCATATCACAATTCAAAAACCCAAATCAAAGAGTAAACTTTGAAAGACAAAGGTAGAAAGAAAAACACTGATGTAACATCCCAAATCAGGGCCAGTGACTAAATTGTAAATTTTGAAAGTTTTGTGTTCAATTTAGAAATGAAATTTAAAAGTCTTGGGATTTAAGTAAAGAATTTTAATATTGGATTAAATAGCAAAGATGGATGAACTAAAGAGGCAAAATGGTCTTTTCATTGGAAAGATTTTTATCTTCCTTTTGAGTATTATAAACGTGGGAAATATGAGAGAGTTCCAGACTTCTCTTCTTCATTCTCTTCTTTTCCACCGTGAAGCCATAAGCAAAGGTAAGTTTCTTCATTAGTTGATTATTTGTTCAACTAAAGGTTTGGTTATGATTATTGGATGATAATTAAGCTTAAGGAAAGCTTAAATCATCTTAAAAATAAAGGATGGCAGAATTAGGAGGGATTAAAGATTAAGAGTTTTTGAATGAAATTCTGGAATAGAGTTCTTTACTCAAATTGGAAGATAAATTTGACTTGTCAATGGTTGAATTAAGAGATATGAAGTGATGGAATTGAATTTAGAACAAGAAGAAAAATTAGTGTGATTCTTGAATTCTATGTAGAGAATTAGATTTTGAAGTTAAAGATGTATTGAATGAGTAGTAATGAGTTTAAGCATGTATATGTAAGTTAAGAATAAGAAAGGGGATGATATATGAAGTGTTTGAGAGGAAATGAAGTAATTTTCGTGCTGAAAAATGATTTCTGGGTTAGGGGGAATCGGTACCCATTCAAAGGGGTACCGATACCCTCTCAAACGACAGAATTCTAGAATGTCATGAGGGTATCGATACCCCCAGTAGGGAATCGATACCCCCTAAAGGAAATTGTGAATATGGGTTTAATAAGTTTGTTTAAGTTGCTAGTATCCAATTACAAGGTGTAGGTATCTAATAATTGCCTTAAAATGTACATTTATGTAGATTCTGAGCATAAGACAAATTCTGGAACATTTGGCAAGTAAGATCGATCAGAGGAAAGATTAGAGATCGAGATTGACTAATGAGACCAGGTGAGTGCATACTCAATAGTATATGGTGTGTGATGGGAATAAGACTTGCGATGAGTCTATTTCCTGAAGTGTTATATATGAATTCATGATTAAAGGCATGAGTTGAATATGAGTGTATGTATGTTTGATTATCTGAATTGATATGTTTTGTATGTGCCATGTGGTTTAGGTGAAAACACGATTAAGTGTTGATGAGAGAATATAAAATAAGTTATGAAATTATAG